TTCTACTATGCTTGAACGAGAAATGTCCCCCCTTTAGGAATGGCCTAAAGACACTACAGTCAGTGGCACTGCCCCGTGGGTAAAAGTTTTTATACAAAGAAAAGAGATGCAATCACGACAATGTAGGATCTAGGGTATTCAAGTCTCTGGCCAGGACCGAGAGCGCTGTCAAATTATAACAACCGTAGACTTGTAGTTTGTAGTATAACTTCGTTTGGGTGTAATACAACTGTAGCGCTGTCAATGGCGCACATATACTTCTCCCTCCTCTCTTTACACCCCGATCGACACTATCAGTCCAGATCACTTATTAGTAGGCAGGCTCCCGACCCTGCCTACCGGGGCCAACCTGGGACGAAAGAAAAACAACATCACAGCAGAAAGACCGAGATACTCGATAAAAATGTACTCCTCACTCGGAAGCCGAAAGCAGGTCTCCCGTGTGCAACAGCCGAACACCAAAGCACAGACGATGGTGCATACGTTTCGCAGAGAAGTTGTTATGGAAAGTGAAGAATGGCGGCCATATGGCAATGCTCAGTTTAGGAGAACAAAACAATGAGAAACACTCAACTTCCGATAACTGGCGGCTATTTTTTTTTCCTCTGTAATAAGTTTTTATTTAAAAAATGTTTGTCTGTGGTACGGTATGTCACTTAAGTACTTGTGGAATTGCACACCGGGTTAATCTTGCACTATTTTCATTAAGAATATCGATGTACTCTAGGAAGAAAATAATTAGTACGTAACTCTTATTCTTTTTTTTTTTCCTTTTAGAGATATTTTTTTGAAACCCAACCGATTTGTAGTTTTATGATACTTTATTTTCTCTAGAAATAAGGTCAAGATGGTCTTTGTCAGAACCAAAAGGGCCTAATGCCCCATTTACACGTACAGTTCATTGATCGACAAACTGTAGGATATCGAAAGAATGGCGGGCATCCAGTCAACTTAACGGTAAAACTGAGCGTGGGAACAAGAAATCCTCTCGATATCGAAGGGTTCTCAGTCCAGCGACCAGATATCTGACGAAGCCAGATATTTTCGGGCCGCGAACTGAACGCCTGACGACGAGGGAGCGGCTTCTTTGATGTTGCCCCAGGCGGAGTTGAAAATGCATTCAAATATTTTTATAAATATTGGTCAAATTTTTGAAAAATTACATGATTTCCGTGATCAGCGACCCAAAATTAGTCAAAATCACGCGGAGAACACAATTTAGTGCCGGATTACTAAGTGAATGTTTTTGTGTTTTGTGAGTTTTGTCAAGGACTGACACTTTAAGGATAAAAAAACAAACTGTACGTCTACATGGAACTTCTCTCGTCGACAAAATTTCAGTTCAACGATGGCCCAGATCTAGCGTCTGTCGGTTAAACTGTCAGTTTGTCGATGAATGACACGTCTGAAGGGGGCCTTAGTCACTTAATGTCTGATCCCCTAAACTATGATAAAAACAGAGAAAAATGCATCAAATATATCAGCCTGAAGAAATGATGAATAAATGTTGGATACCATTTTCAAACGAAAAAAGTGTATAGTAAAACAACAGAACGGGGGGGGGGGGGGGGGGGGTCACTACACCGACACTATACTAAGTCTTAAAACTTACGTTTGATGCACGGTGTATGTTAAGTACCGATGGGATTTCAAACCGGATTAACTTTGCACAATTTGCAAAAAAAATGTGAATGTACTCGTGGAAGAAAATAATTTGCAAGTAACTCTAATTTTAGGTTGTTTTCAGTAAAAAGGATTTATGGTACTTTATGATCCCTTTGATTTACACCATATTATTCGAAGAATAGCTTGACTGCTATCTCATGTGATTATGCAACGGTATAGTGAGTTGCAACTTTCTGTGAAATTTTTGTAATGAATTTCTGAAGTGACGTCATGGTTACTACATTGTTTCCCCAATATTGAACCCATTCTTGTTCACAGGTATACCCACCAACGACGTTTTGCTTCAGAGTAGTTGAAAACGTGATAAGGAATCAGCTGAAAACTGAAAAGCAAAATGGCTTTGCTTAAATCACTTCCAAACAGAAATCCTATAGTTCTATTGTTTATGGTCTTGGCTTTGGGCTGCATGAAGTCCTCCCAACAAGGCAGTGACCTGTCCCCGGCCACAACATCGCACACCAAGGAGTCAACCCCAACCCTGAATACTTCACTAGGACTTTCAGAACGTTCTTCTACGGCGCTATCTACATATTCGGGTTCAGGGGAGGAAACTGATTGGGGGGAAGTCGATGACCCGACACTGGACCTGGGCAGCAAGCAGTTTGCAGACACGTCGACAAAGAAGTATGCACAGGAAGTCCTAACGGGGTCGACACCGGAGCCATCCTCGTGTAGCACGCAGAACTCTCCGTGTACTGTTACCGTCCAAGCTGATGACGTCATTGTGGACTGCAAGGGTAAACGTCTTGTTACTCTATGTTCTGAATGGTTCCCAATCGACACTACAATCCTTTGGCTGGACAATAACTGTTTGGACAGTATTGAAAAGAATGTTTTCTCCAAACTCTCCCTACTCCGTGCTCTGAGTGTCACTAATAATGTTATAAATTATGTTGAAGATGATGCTTTTTATGGCCTTGAGAAACTAGAAGTTCTTAACCTTGAGCACAATGGCCTGGACGATTATTATGCATGTTTTTTATGGGCTATGTTGGATGACGACGAAGAGGCGGGTGTGCTAAAACATCTCCCTGCTTTGCGCGAATTCAGGGCAAACTACAACTATCCCTCGACGGACATGTGCGATTTCAATCAGTTCATCGTAGAAATACGACATCTAAGCAAACTACAACTTCTCACTCTTGACATCTTTGGGCCAGAACTTGAGGAGCATACTGTATCCACAAGATTGTTTGAGAAATTAACTCGTTTAGAGATGTCCCTTTTTTCTGACACTCTTTCTAATCAAACTTTTCGAGCTTTTTGGAACTCCTCATTAACACAACTTATCATTGTGAATGCCCCACAGCTTAAAGTTATTGAAGAGGATACTTTCGTACCTCTGAGATTCCTGGAAACACTTGTGTTATCAAACAGCGCAGTCGGTTTCGGCAATTGCGCTCAGGCACTTAAACCATTTGTAGGACGGCTGCTGACAGAACTCGTTTTCGATAACGTTAACCTTCATGAGAAAGTATTCTTGAACTCATACTCAGGCTGCCCCAAAAGTGAGGTAGACAGATTTCCTTTTATTGGAGACTGCAGTGAGCTTTGGAAGTATAGGTATTTGCCGCACATCTGTTCAGAGCGAATAAGTTTTAAATCGAACAACATTGCTAGCCTTACTTTTGCTTTCAGTGAAGGGCTGACCTCCCTCTACACTTGCACCAGAGTTCTTGATTTGTCAGGAAATGACCAATTTCATTTAGATATAAATCTATGGACTTCACTTACGGAACTGTCGGTGACATATAGTAAGAAAATGTGGTCATTTAGAGACAATATCAAAAAGCAGTACCTCGACGGGCTTCGCGACTTGAACAACGAGAGATCTACTTCCCGTTGTGACCCAGATGGAAGTGAAATTGTGGACTGCATAAGTCCTGATGAAGTTCTCTTGGTCAGCTCATTACGAAAGCTCAATAATTCAGCCTCTGTATTAGATTACTCAACAAGAGTCTGTAATGAGGTAGAGTATTTCAACGCCACTGGACTGGAGGAACTTGACCTCAGCAGGAACGGCTTCCGCAATGTTAGAGGTAGTATAAAGGGCCTGAAAAATCTTAAGAGGTTTATTTTCTCTCACAACGACCTCGCAGAGTTCACTGACACTTATTTCGACCATTTCCCAAATATTCAATATATTGATTTATCTTTCTGTAACATACAAGACTCTTTTTTGACTTCTCGTGGGAGGAGACTTTTCAAAAATGTTTTAAAATTAAAGCAAGTGGTCCTAAGTAATAATGATCTCAGCGTCATGGCGCCAGACACTTTTGAGGCAAATAAAGAGCTGGAGATAATTGACATTAGCCGAAATAGATTCTCTTCCCTTCCGATAGACGTAAGATACACACCAAGTTTACAAGTCCTGAATTTGGCACATAATTCCCTGTCTTTTTTTACATTAGAGGGAATGAAAAAACTGGACGAGCATTATCGTAAACAGTCCAACTTTACCTTACTCTTAGACGGAAATCTTTTGTCATGCTCCTGTGATAACATTCAGTTTCTGCTGTGGTTAAGATCTACTCACATCGCCCTCGACAAAGCTGCCAATTTTACCTGTATCAGCAAAGGAGCTGTGGTCTCCTTCACCCAAGACATCCCGCACCCAAAGGTACTCTGGCGACAGTGCTTTGGGGGAACCTCCCTCCTCATTTCACTCTCGCTGTTGTTAAGCCTCCTCCTCTCCGTTCTCAGCGTGGTCGTTTATTTCCGGAACAGAACCTTCGTGAAGGCCTTCGTCCTGAGAGCGTTGATGCCCGAGTTCCGACCGAAAAAGAGAGAGGATTATCCTGTGGGTGTCTTCATTGGTTACGCTGAGCGGGACTACCGCTTCCCTTGTTTCCCTCTGAGAGAGTTCATCGAGGGTCGCTTGTCTCTGACCACCTACATCCGTGATCGGGACATGTTGGCAAACCAAACCATGGGGGATGCCATTGTGCGAGCGATCAATGCGAGCTGGCGTTTGCTTCTCGTGGTCACTCACAAGTTTCTGGACGATGACCCCTGGGCACACTTCACCATCAAGGTAACAGTAACTGTGCTAAAAGTTTGTACACATTATTTTATGATATAACACTCAGGGCGATTAACAATCCAAACAAAATTTGATAATGCAGTGACGTCCAAAAGAAAGTTGAATATGTATTCACTCAACCATCGTGTTTAAAGCCTTGAGCTACTCACTTATGCAGTAGAGCAATATAAAACTGAATAAATTCTGCATCATCTGACATTAACATTTCATATGTGATTAGAGTCTCCCGAGATAGGATCATTCAAAATTAACCTTTAAAAAAAAAAGACTTGGCAAAATGAATGTAATCAAACAATTTTTTAAAGTGTGTTTGTGCGTGTGTTGAAGTGCTTTTATATTGGTGGAATGCACGTGCATTGCATTTCAAATCATTTTGATTTTGTTTCTGCAATAAACAATAAATATTTTATTAGATAGTTTTAAACAGATTGGAAAATATAGAAAACATGGATTTACCATTATATGTGCTCATCAGTACTTTGTTTAAAAGCCATTGGTTTTGTAGAGCTCAAAACCTCTGGCCTTGGAATTTGTTAAATTTTGGACGTAATGTTCTGTCTTTTCATCCCAACTGTCACATAAAGTTGCAAACAAAGCGTCTAAATTTGGGAGCAAAGTCGAGTGCCTTCATAATTATTATCTGTACGATTCATATCAGGGCTATTTACTGGTGACCACTCCATCGTTACTATCCTTTGGTTTTCTAAGAATTGTCTAGTAGCGTTGCCCCTGTGAGAAGGTGCTTTGTCGTGCATACAGATGTCAACTTGAAGGATACCTTGATGAAAATAAGGATACGACGTGAGGTTCCAGCGCTCGCGCGATGTAGTCCAGTGAACAAAGCCATTCGTTGATTCTCACAAGTGGCGTTTTGTTCATTCCACCCAGACCTCCCTAAGGCCGGTCCCAGAGTGGCTCTGTAGGTCTGACCTGTAGCTCGCCTGGCTCGCACTGTGCAAATGAATGTATACATTATCGTGTGCTTAAGCAACGTTGCTGTGTCGTCTGTTTTTTGTCAGCTGAGCTGCGCGATGCGTCAGACGTGCTATTCAACAGTTTTGTAAAAATGGCGGACATGTGTCGCCTCGCTTCGTGTTTGTTTTCGACTGAAACTCTTCTCAGCTCATCAAAATCAACAAGAAGTAAGATTTATTAGGTGATTTACTATTAAATATTGATGCTAGCATCAACACTTGGCCACAAAATCACCCAGAAATGCACTTTATCTTACTTTGAAACTTCGAATCGAGAGGTTGACCTAGTTTCGACTGTTGTCGTAGGCCTAGATCTAGGAGTGCTTCTCTAGATTCTAGATCTAGATCTAGATCTAGCCTTGCATTGTGACCAATGTAAACTATCGCCGCGCGCAGCTGCAGGTGTGTTTGATTTTGTTTCTGCAATCTCTGCGAGCTACAGGTCAGACCTACAGAGCCACTCTGGGACCAGCGTAAGGCCGGCTTGGCGCACGCCGTGTGCGTGTCAGCACAGCCGCATTGTGGGTTGGCGCCTGTGTCTCCGCGAGCGCGAGGCACACTCGCTGCGTCTCAGCACAGCCGCCCTGTGTGTTACGTGTGTAGGTGTGCAAATGACGGGTCTGCCTTGCTATATTTAGGTACTGTGTAATCCAAGACCAATTATACCAAGAC